TATTATTTTATTCAAAATGATTTAGTATCATTTTTTGTGAAAATATATTAATATGTTGAAAAAATATCAATACCAATTCTACAAGCATAAACCCAATTCTATCTACCATTCATAATTATGTTAAATAAAAACTTAATAATACCACTAACCTCTTTAATTGAATTGCTACCAGGCACACCAATCGTACTGTGAATATTTTGAGCAACTGTAGAAACACCAGATCTTCTCTGCATAGCCATCATGGCTCCAAATGCTGTTCCAGGCACATGGGGAGGTTGTTCACTAGTTGTACTGGATGTTGCGTAATCTTCTTCTGTACTGGATTCTAAGCACAGTAATTCCTGAAATATAAAAGATTTGTTTATTGTTTGTCATATTTGGTCATTTTATTAAAAAAACATATTTAACATATTCAATCCTTTCACTATACAGTTGCACCCCTACACATTAGTGACCTTATATGGAGCGAATTTTTGCTTTGACATAAGTGCAAAATTTGAGATACAAGCTTTGAGCAAGTAAGAGTTTTCTAGAAAAACGCAAAATAAAAGTATGAAAAATTTTATCAGTTGCAACAATAAATTTTCCTGCCATAGAAATATTTTGGCTATTTTGTGGTAGCAATTTATTTCATAGTTAGTCATTTCAATTTTATATGAATACTAATGGTGCAGTAACAATTGACCCATGCGAATTAATCAAAATTTATTTTAACTTTTGAAATTTTAACTATACATTAATAATGATTATTTTGTAATGCACAATTATATATGTTAAATTCGTGTTTTTGCTTTCTGTAATTCACATTTTAACAATACTTAAATTATTTAATTAATATTTAAATTAATTAATAGTAAGTTTATTTTTAATGGCATTTCAACGTATTAATTTGGTAAAAACGGCATCGAGATACGAGCGATTTGACATATGAGCGTGGTTACGGAACAAATTAAAATCGTGTGTCAGGGTACCACATTCAACTATAAAAGTTTAATATAAAGTAACACTTACCTGATTGCTATCCAGGAAATAAAGTTGGGAGTTCTCTTGCCAGCTAATTTTATAATTATAAATATTTTGATTTGGTACCCATACGGCGTGCTTAATTTTCGTCAATTGAGATAAATCCTTTGTGTATATAGGGCTACATTCACTAGGTTTAAACACAAATACTAAAAAACAAAAATAATAAGCATTATTATTTCAAATTACAAAATAATACAAATGCTGTATATGTTTAAATATGTATTATATATTTATTATATGCATAATACTCACAAGTATTGTCTTCACTGAAAGCAGCCATATGTGTACTCACTGGATCACCAACTAAAATAGCTACAGAAATATTTACCATCCATAAGGATCTTAAAGACATCACGTCCCATACAACGAGATGAGAAGCATTACATGAGACAAGCTGCAATAGAAAAATATTTATTTATCTAAAAAATTGTAGCAAATTTTATAACAAATCTCACTATTCTCATGATGCAATTTAGTATAATTAACATATTCATTATTAATTACCAAATGCCCCATGTCTCCACAACCAAAAAGAACTTTCTTAACATCACTCTGTGGCCCAACATGTGTTAATGAACATTTCAAGCTAAGATCATCAGGTCTCCAGATGGTAACACATGGTCCAAATCCACAAGCTAATAAAGAACCATCCATTGAAAAGTTAATACAATTAGCCGGAAGATCCTTATGTTTTACAGAACCCACGCATTGCCAATGTCTTTTTTCTAAAATATAAATATAGAGTTAAAAACAAAACAAAAACAATACAAAGATTAAATATACATACTGTGAATAGGAGTGGATTCCATAAACTTCCATATTTTAAGCAAATTATCTTTCCCAACAGAAGCACAAAGAAATTGTTTACCAATTTCTTGGAATTTAATATCGCAAACACGCCCATTGTGTGGATGGTCTATACATGTGTTTAATGAGTATCTACAAAAAAAATTACTATTAGATAAGAAAAACAAATAATAGATGTTAATATGTTATCTAACTCAATCTATTAAATAAGAGCACTAAAATCTAGTTGGATTATTATAAATCTGAATTTTTCAAACTACCAAATAAATAGCAATATGTGAATTAAAAACTAATGACTAAAAATAAAATCTGTATACATTTGTTTAGCTGAATTGTATTCCCAAAATTTGAGTCTACTTTCGAAATGTGTAACACTATCGTCTCTATGCTCAATTGTGGCCATCCAGGTTCTTAAATCGGTGGATTGATCTGATAACACTCCAATAGCTACAAGTACTACTGAAGTATTAATTATATCCAGATTTCTTTCAGCTGTCAATTGATTTTGAAGTGTTATATCAACCTAGAAAAACAAAATGATATTTTGTCAAACATTAAAAGAATATCTTCATAATAATTGAGATGCTTACCTTATATAATAAACTTTTAGAATGAGTAGAATAAAATTGGACATGCCCTGTTTGGCCATTTAGAACTATGGATTGTGTAGTTGGATCATATACTAAACCGGCTGGAAAAGGTGGTTCAGCATTTGTTTTCGGTACATTTACAGAGTCCTTCAAATCCACATAAACACCCCAAGCAAAGTGCTGAATACATGATATTATTCTATTTTGTGCATCTAAAATTTGAACACCTGAAAAATAAGATTCATGTATTTTCACATGTTATATTACCACACTGTAAAAATTGTAAATACATTTCCGCTCTAAACTAATTTCCATAAAATCCATTTTAGCCAAGTATAAACTAGACCCACATATTCAACTATTTTTTAATTTAAATTTTATTTACTATTTTTTAAACTATTAAAACAGTACCACACTCAAGTTGTGTCAACAGAATATCTGTACTAAGTTACAATGTTTGCTCTAAGAAATGTATTGCACAATAAAATGAAATACGGGTATGAGATAAATATTACATACATTTGAACAACAAATGTATTAAATTATGGATTAATGTAAGCCTAAATTAACATAAACATATCTAATAATATCTAGTTTTAATCCATCATTAAAAGAAATCATAATGAATTGGTTACTATCTACATACATAGTAAGTAAAAGAAAAATAACAATATATAGCACTTACCATTATCCTGAGTGCAAATTGCAACCCTATGATTTTCTGGGCCAACTGCTATATGACAAACACCACCAGGCAGACGGGGAAGAGTACTACGGTGATTTGGATTATCAACAGTCCATTTAACAAGCACTCGCTCATGACCTCCAGAATAAAAATGACTTCCAGATTTTGTGAAAGCCAAACATGCCACAGGCAATGTATGCCAATGATAAATTGCCTAAAAATAAATTTAGTGAGATAACTTAATATAAAAAAGCTTATAAGTACTGAAACCAACAAGTAAAATGAGCAACTTTATTGGCATTATTAGTGCAACTAATAATTGTACATTTGTAATATTTTACTTTTATCAATTAATGAATTTAAAAACAATTTGATAAATACAGATCAATGTCTCAATCATAATCTTAATATTGTAATTTTTACTTATTGCATTAGTGTTGAAATTAACAAATGAACATGCTTTGTATCAGTTAAATTCATTGCTATGAAATTAACCAGATATTTTACTAATAGTCTGGTTTGTATAAAAAGAAATATGTATCAATATTACCTGTGCACTTCTTTCCTCGCAAAGAATGCCTTGCCATAAAATGACCCTGCCAGTGGTCTCGCCAGTCAAAACAAAATAGTACTCTGGATGACACTCAACACAAGTGAAAGAACTATTTTCTGATATATATTTTCTAAAAGTACATGTGATTAGTTAAAAATAGATTTTAAATCATTATTATAACATTATATACATACAATGAAAGAGGTAATTTCATTGACAAATCAATGGTATATAATTTGTTTAATTGCACTATTGATAAAAATTGAGATCCAGGTCGTCCACCAATTGATAATTTGAAGCTTGCTGATTTGAGAGAAACTTCAATCTTTGTCTTCAATGTTCCATTTTGTAAATTAAAAAGTCCGAAGTGATATTTTTTGCCTTTGTCAATATGTTTCCATGAAATTAAAATTGCACCTTTATCGATAGCAACTAGGTCAAATGTAGATATGCAAAATTTGTTATCAAGTTTGATTTGCTGAAAGAGAAAATATATATATTTATTATTCGAAATGTTTGACATTCTGTTTATAAATAAAGTTTAGTACTATATCACTAATTATAAGGAAAAAAATGAAATGATTAAATTAAGAATATGATATATACAAAAACATGACTAGATTCCTATTCATTCAAAGTAAATACTAAGTAAATGCTCAAATAGGACAAAATAAGGGCAATAATGATCATTATATTTATAAATTCCATAATTACAATTTTATTGTGATAAATTCCAGACTTCCATTTCCAAAATCCGATTTCTCCACTTTCAGAACAAGCTATTAACAGTTTTGAATTATAAGGATGAAAATGAACAGCAACAATGTTATCGATGAGCCCCTCATAGTCGCGAAGAAGTTCTCCAGTTTGTACACTGTAGGCTCTAACTACATTACCCCATATTACATAAATAATCCTAGTAAGAAACAAACGTCGTATTAATATTTTAACATTAATATTATAATTCAATTTACAATACATACTGTCCATTGTCAGAAAATAGCGGTCTGTGATTTATAACACTGCCTCCACCTTTTCGTTTTATAACTAATTCTTCAACAGGTTGATCAGAAGTTATGCAAACCATATTTTTTAATTAATATCCATAAATATTAACGACTAAATGTGTTATTCTAATAACATATTAATAAATCAAATGGTTTGAAAACATGCGTCTATCACACATTTCACGGATTTAACAGGGATTTAACTCTAACCTCAAATACCACATTGAAAATTAAATCTGAAAATATAATTCATAGCCAACTTCACTATTGAGTTCCGTCAATATTTTATACAGCCTTTTTCCTGTTTATTTCAAAAAGGTTATGTTATTAAATTCTAGTTTGTAATGGTTAAAGACGTATATAAATGTCACTGTTGTTAATTTATTAAGAAATATATTGTAAATAAACTAAAATTTCTGAGACGTTAAGATTTTCATTACACCATAATAAAATGAGCAGTTCACAGAGCACAGACGTGCAAGTCCAAGTACGACTCTTCACCAAACAAGAACAGTGAGCCTATTTTATTCGTTTTTATATTCTTAACCCAATTGTCAATTTCTGCATATGATATTTCCATCCCCAGATATGCTATTCCTGATTCACCATGTTGGATTCCAGTATCTTCTACTATTGAAACTTTAAACAATCTTGTAAATGCAATAATTCTAGAATCACAAAGTGACAGACAACATGTGGATTTCGACTTTCTTATAAATAATGAGTTTTTGAGATTGCCACTTGGTGAGCACTTGCAAAGCAAAGAAATATCTACTGAAGATGTCATTGACGTTGAATACGTTGAGAGACATCCATCTCCTGAACCTCAGGATTGTCTCATGCATGATGATTGGGTGTCATCAGCTCAAACCTTTGGAAAATGGCAAGTTTTATATAACACATAATGCAAGATGAACTTTATTAAATGACTTGTTTTATTTCTTAAGGATATTGACTGGCTGTTACGATGGTACAGTCCACATATGGACAACCAAAGGTACCGAAGTCCTTACAATACCAGCACATGCAGATCCTGTAAAAGCAGTTGCTTGGATATCTGTGAATGACAAGACATCAACATTTGTTAGGTAATACAAACTGCTAACTTTTCAAAATGTTCCATCTTATTCATTTGATCTACTGGCAATGGAATTTTTTCTATTTTCTATTTCTCTAGCGTATCACATGATCAAAGCGCACACATTTGGCAATGGAATATATCAGATAATGCTGTTGAATGTGTTGTTGTTTGCAAAGGTCATGAACGTGGATTAGAATGTGTATCAGTCAATAAAGATGGATCTCTAATGGCAACTGGAAGTTGGGATACTTTTCTTAAAATTTGGGGTGCTTGTAAGTAAATGTACTTCAAAATATAATAATTATGATCTGAGGGTATTAAGTTCTGATTCTTCATTCAGCTTTAGAAGATACAGATGCTGGAGAGTCTTCTAGTAAACGTTTGAAGGGTGATAATGGAAAAGTTAGAGTAAGTAAAAATAATTATCATTTTAAATAAAATTCTTTTTTTTATATGCATTGAATTTTTAGATACCACAAATGACTTTACAAGGGCATAAAGAAGCCATATTGTCAGCTCAATGGATCGATACAAATACAATAGCTACCGCTTCATGGGATCATACAATAAAATTATGGGATGCTGAATTGGGTGGAATAAAAAGTGAAATTGTGGGAAATAAAGCATTTTTCGATTTGGATCATTCCACTGTTAACAACATGATAATTACATGTTCTGCAGATAGACATGTTAGGCTTTATGATCCACGGTCCAATGGTAAGAAAATAATAGATAATCTGAAGTAAAAAATACTTAGTGTGTGGAGCCTATAATTTAGTTTAACAAAAGGCTCCATTATTCTATAAAAAAATCCATTTAAATATGGATTTATTTAAGCTACACAAAATGAATTTACATATAAAATATAATTATAATTGTTTTCAGAGGGAAGCCTAGTAAAACAAACTTACACATCCCATACACAGTGGGTTCAGTCTGTTTGCTGGTCAAAGAATGAAGAACATTTGTTTTTGTCTGGTGGATATGATAATCAAGTGAAACTCTGGGATTGCAGAAGGTAAATATTTTAAATAACTAAACTGCAATACACCATTTAGATATAGATAGACAAATATTAACATTGTACATTTAATTTGTAGCTCCAAAGCACCATTATTTGAACTCTCTGGACATGAAGATAATGTTCTTACTTGTGACTGGTCAAATCCAAAATACATGGTATCAGGAGGAAAAGACAATACTGTTCGAATATTTAAGTCAAAAAATGCTAATAAGAAAGAATTAGAGAGTTAAATAGAATGAATTAGTAAAAATACTTCTTTTAATATTGTATACTGCCATTACTTTATTTTGTGTGATGTTATTTAGACGTACTCAAATCAAACTAATGACTGCCTCAACTAGTAAAAGAATCATGGTTATTTATAACATTTACACTATATTCAAATACAACTTTCAACTACCTAATATATTATGTTATGCACTGTGCAACCATTAAAATTTTTAGTAATCTATATAAACAAACATATAAATGATAGTTCAAAAATGCAATATGATTTTTAATCCAAATCATAAAGTTCTAAGGTTCACATTACAGCCTATCCTAAAATCTATCGTGGCATTGGCATGGCGGATCCAGGTCCTAATAAGACCTGTAAAAGAAAATATTTATTAGGACACATTTTTCATAAAACAATAAAATTGATGGGTTATATAAATTCACTTGCAAATTTAGAATTCTCTTTAAGCTTCAATGCTAAATCTTGAACATTACAAATCATTATGTATTAATTACATAGGGCTTGAAATGGAGGACAAGGGAATCAAGTATCACCTGATACAATATCTGAATGTAATATACTCGAATTATTATATTCTCACATGGACTTATTTTTTACTTGCAGAGATTTTCAAAAATTGTATGATTTTTGTAGGCACTATAAAAATAAACATGGTGTTGAATGTGGGAAGGGGTACAATTTTAAATATCACGACCATAACCAATAGGGAGACTAGAGGCTGAAAAATGACCCCATATTTAAAGAATGCCCCCTTTTTAAAATATCAATGAACCTTATATTCTTCATAAAAATGTGTTATCTTCTATAATAATTTACCTGTTTCTGTTGGCTTCTCTGCATTTGTTCCATTTGTGCCCTCTCTACTTCAAACATAACAGGTGCAAATAAAATAATTGATGAACTAAAAAAGAGCCATGTAGCTGCACACGAGAAAGCATATAAGCCTTTTACTCCTCTATAAGAGTTGTACGTAAGTTTTGATACTGCTTTACGAACGGGCTCAGGAAACATTTCAGTTAAACCTATAAGACGTTCTGCCAATGTTTCATCAGGCTCCTGGCAAAAAAATAATCTAGTATGAAATATTTGGTAACATATGATAAAAAATATGCATTATTTTTACAGAGAAAACTGTACCTATTAAAAGTTTCTCAATTATTAACAAATATCTACCAAATTACTGATGTAATGTTAGTTTAAAAGGGTTTTAATATGTATCAATATCACAAGTTTTTGCCGTTTTATATTTATGAAATATTCAAAGATATCCACGGATTTTTAAACAAAGTTTTTGCTATTTTATTTTTATGAAATATTCAAAGATATTTATCCATGGATTATTAAACAAAGTTTTTGCCGTTTTATTTTTATGAAATATTTAAAGATATCCACACATTTTTTTAACAAAATTTTGCCGTAGTTATATGTCAAATATTTTTGACTATGATTTATAAAACAGAAATTGAATTTATTCTTATTTAAGCTCATAACGGGTAGTAAATATAATGAGTATTAGTAATCAAAATAAAGAGTATAGTAAAAAGTTAACAATGTTCAATAAATTCTCTTGTTAAATATGAAAATTCAGCAAACAAAATATACAAAAAAAATATTAACTGGAACATTCTTTATAGAAATACACGTGATATGATATTTCCTAATTACCCGGTTAAAAATCAATCGTAATTTTATAGCAAGTTAAATCATTACTAATTGCAAAACATATATATTTCATTGCGTTTCAATTGTATGAAAATTATGAAAGCATGTGAAGTATGAAAGACAATTATATTCAATTTCAAGCAATTAAACTGCAATAATAGCATTTTCATGTAAATCAGTTTATTGTTATATGAAAAATGATGTTTAGGGCAAATAATTCTAAATTATCTATCTCTCCAAGAAACATATCACTAATTATAAAAAACTAAAATATTGTAAAAATCAAAATGATAAATATGATGCTTGTCTCTAAATTATCTACAAATATTTATTATATAACATAATTATGAATTAAATGAATTATGTTCAACTACGACATTTTTTACATAAATACATCGAGAAATCTAAGTTGTTGACAATTACTCAATAGAAAAATCTAAATTTTCTATCAACACAACAGAATCACTAATGACTATATATATTCAATAATGTTCCTATTGTACAAAAGTTATGAAGAGCGCTTTAAGCATGAGGGAAATAATAAGCAATTTCGAGCAATAAAATAGATATGATTGCATTTTTACAGGCAATACAAATAGTTATGAATGTGAAAAATGTAACGTTTCCTAAATTCCATTAATTTGGCTCGTAAAGCATTTCAAATCTATCTTTTCTATATATGTCCTTTACAATTGAGGTTATGTATTACAAATTTAATACTTACATCGTCATAATTTTCTGTAGATTTTGCCACGACTCCTGTCAACTACAAAAAAACATTTTCATTAATTAATATCAACACGGCTCAAAAATTACTAAATATTTATATTATCACAACACACCTCGTCAGATTTTCGTTCCGGAGTTTCATCTTTGCTATTTCCCGAATCCATTCCGCTATCAACTGACCAATCTTCTAATTCGACTGCAGAATCATCCATCAGAAAAACAACGAATTAATAATTAATACACTTTTTGCAGTCTTTTATTTTAGTTAACAATTATTATGGATTAAAATTGATAGCACCATGAACCTTTTTACTTACGGTAAAAGTACGAGATGTCACTGCTGCAAGTTTTAAACTCTTCAAACTTCAGACCCAATAGGCAGACTTTAAACTTGACCAATGTAAAAAACGTTGACGCGGAAATTCAAATTATTGAAATAAAAATAAGATTAAATTATGCTACTTAAAATTAAAATTGACCCGAATGAATTACTGATGTTTTCATATGTTTTGGTTTTTTTTGAATTTCTCTTGTTTTTGAATCCCGTATATTTTTGTGACGCTTTCTATGTGCATAATATTTAAAATTTATTTTGATTAAATAATGGCAAATTGATTTTTTTTATTAGTATCAAAATTATAATCGAAGTTATGATAACTATTTTTACAATTATTATATATCACTTTTATTATTTTTCGTTATCGAATTAAAGTTATAATCATTATTAATTATAACTTAAGTATTACAGAATTTATTATTTGATATGCTAGAAGCTTTGGTATTATAACTCAAGATTCGACACCTTCACCGAACAGCCCGGTATCAAGCAGTGGTGATACAGATTTTTACCTAAAAATATATACTATAGAACAATACTGTGACAATAGCTCTTCTCTGGAAATGCTGCATTATATTAAAAATATTTATGAAAAAGCTTATATTCATTTCATGTATGGTTCCAATTTGTTACTTGCAAAATGTACTTGAATTATTTATTACTTAACAACAAAAAATTCGCTTAAAAATCGATTTTATCAACTATTATGCTTCTCCGTGGCTCACATGGTGGAAGCTTTAATGTTGTGACCCAAGGTTCTAGATTCGATACCCACCCCGAGCAGACTGATATCAAGCAGTAGTGATATAGGATCTTACTTGAAAATTAAGATATGGAACAATATTACAACAGTAACTCTTTTTGCAATTGGTGCAATGAATTAAAGATTTGTTATTCTATTTATAAACTCTTAGTATAGTAACTAATCACTATTGAGTAGAGAAATATAGTTAAAACAACAATTTCTGATTGAAGTCTGAAGAAGAAATAAATAAATAAATAAATAAGAAAACTCATGCTTTTACAGAGGTTTTTCGTTTTACACGCAGTACGCTATGCTATGTTTTGAACTATAATTATTGGCTCCAAGGCAGGTTCATGGTTTGATAGCCTCACATTTAATTTACGCCTTTTTATTTGCCTTTAAATCATTTTTTACTTCTCCAGCACATTCTAACAACGACGGCGTCGTGTAGGAGGCACTTTTTTACAGAATGAGCCCGTCTAGTTTCCTTTTCTTTTCAGGATCGTGCTCAGTAGAGTCCTTTCTTCGCCCACTCTTCTCAGGACTTCTTCACTTGTTATCTAGTCAGTCCACCTTATTTTCACCATTCGTCTTATGCAATATAGTAATTAATAATCAAAAATGATGTTAATTTTATCGAGAAAAATTAAACTCAAAACTTTTTTCAACTTTTAATGTTACAATTATACATATAACATGTTACATAGTTTTTAACTTCGATATGAAGAATAGATTAATAATATAAATATGTATCTACAAATCAGCGTATGAAATCCAATGATATACGCATATAAATATAGGTATATATTAATTTTTAACAAATAATTATAAAAAATATTTTTATTTCAATTATAATTAGGTAATATTGTTTTTGTTGTAGTTTTCATGTAATTTATAAAGAATAAGGCAATTTCGTAACATTTTTGTTAAGAACTGAAGTCATGCTTATCATAATAATGTGTACATTATTTTAAAAATTGCAATAAATTTATTTGGAAGTTTTTTTCACAATTGAGCCAATTCATACTCTTAGAGTAAAAGTAGTTGATTTTTACACAAACTTAAAAAGAATAGAATAGATACAGTACAGGTACGATTGAATTGCAGATTTTTCGTCAATGATGACAAATGTACAACTAACATCAAACTTGCAAGCAAAAATGGTTACTTTTAGAAATTGATGATTTTTATTCAGATTTATGAGCGATTTGATCAAAATGATTTTTTTAAATATGTTCGTATTATTTCGAACAATTTACAACAAGCGTTTTATTTCTACTAATACATCGCGTATTCTAAGAATTTTAATAACAGTATATAAATTATCGTCGTTATTATTGCAATTTTATTCTAAATGATTTATGATATATAATATAATATTTATTGACAATACATTCGATAATGTACATTTTTACATTTTTAAATATAAAACAACCTTATATAAGTATCACACCATCTTGTATTTATGAAAATAGTCTCGCAAACTCTGAAAAGAATAAAATATCGTTAGTATTATTTCTAGATGAAACTAAAAGCAGA